ATTTTTTGTATTTTTAGTAGAGACGGGGTTTCACCATGTTGACCAGGATGGTCTCGATCTCTCGATTTCGTGATCCACCCGCCTCGGCCTCCCAAAGTGCTGGGATTACAGGCTTGAGCCACCGCGCCCGGCCCTAATTTTTGTTTTTTTTAGTAGAGACAGGTTCTCATTATGTTGGCCAGCCTGGTCTCAAACTCCTGACCTCAGATGATCCACCCGCCTCAGCCTCCCAAAGTGCTGGGATTACAGGCATGGGCCACTGTGCCCAGCCTTTGCTTGAGTTCTTTACACTGTCCATCCTCAGTCTCCTCCTCTGGAAAGTGGGAATTAGAATGACTACTTCCTAGGGTTGTCAGACTGATTAAAAAAAATACTGGGCCTGGAGAGTTCCGGCACAGTGCTGATATCTAGAAAGCAGCCATTCTCAGTCTTCACCCCGGCCCCACCCTGTGTCATTTCCCCCAGTCTCTCCTTTGCTGGTATCTCAGAGACAGTGGTGCAGGCAGGGGTGGGCCCACACGATCGCAGCGGGTTGTCTCAGCTAGCTCCCAACAGCCGTGCTGAGTTGCACCAACCCTCAGGGGTCAGCCTCACATCTCTGTGAGTTTCATTTTCTTTTTCTTTTTTTATTATACTTTAAGTTTTGGGGTACATGTGCAGATCGTGCAGGATTGCTACATAGGTATACACATGCCATGGTGGTTTGCTGCACCCATTCCTCCATCATCTACATTAGGTATTTCTCCTAATGTTAGCCCTCTTCAATCCCCCTACCCCCTGTTATCCCTCCCCTAGCTCCCCCCACCCCCCCAACAGGTCCTGGTATGTGATGTTTCCCTCCCTGTGTCCGTGTGTTCTCACTGTTCAACACCCACTTATGAGTGAGAACATGCGGTGTTTGGTTTTCAGTTCTTGTGTCAGCTTGCTGAGAATGATAGTTTCCAGCTTCATCCATGTCACTGCAAAGGATGTGAACTCATCCTTTTTTATAGTTGCATAGTATTCCATGGTGTATATGTGCCACATTTACTTTATCCAGGCTATTACTGATGGGCATTTGGGTTGGTTCCAAGTCATTGCTATCGTCAACAGTGCTGCAGTGAACATACATGTGTATGTGTCTTTATAATAGAATGATTTACAATCCTTTGGGTGTATACTCAGTGGTGTTTTTGCAGAGTGTCCTCTTCCTTTTGCAGAATGATTTTCCTGCCAGCACATAAGTGAGGCAATGTTATTCATGAAAGCACATCCTCAGTGTGCCTCACGGTCCAGCACTCGTTCGGCAGATAAATTATGAGTGCCGACTCTGCTGGTAGTGGGATCAGCACCTGGGACACTGAGACCAACCCAGGCGAGGTCCCTGCCCTCAAGCCTTGGGCAGTGAGAGTTCCCAGGGGTGATTTCCCAACTTTACACTTGCCTCAAGGGTCCTAGTCGGCCACTCCTGAGCTACAACATCTGGGCACTGCCCTTCTGTCCTTGCCACAGCTAAGCCTTGGAGTTTATTATGCTTTTTGTTTATTATTATCATTTTTAAAGACAGGTACTCACTCTGTAACCCAAGCTGGAACACAGTAGTGTGATCTCGGCTCACGGCAATCTCTGCCTCCTGGGCTCAAGTGATCTTCCTGCCTCAGCCTCCTGAGCAACTAGGACTACAGATGGGCACCACTACATTTAGCTAATTTTTAAAAATTTTTTGTAGAGATGAAGTTTTTTACTATGCTGGCCAGGCTGGTCTCAAACTCCTGACCTCATGATCCACCTGCCTTGGCCTCCCAAAGTTCTGGGATTGGAGGCCTGAGCCACTGTGCCCAGCCTATCATTATTTTTTAAGATAAGGACTCCCTCTGTCACCCAAGCTGGAATGAAGTGGTGCGATCTTGGCTCACTGCAACCTTCACCTCCTGGGCTCAAGTGATCTTCCTGCCTCAATCTCCTGAGTAACCAGGACTACAGGTGTGCACCACCATACTTAGCTAATTTTTTTTTTTTTTTTTTGTATTTTTTGTGGAGATGAGACCTCACCATGTTGCCCAGGCTGGTCTTGAACTCCTGGGCTCAAGTGATCCACTCATCTCAGCCTCCCAAGGTGTTAGGATTGCAGGTGTGAGCCACAGGGTTCAACGTATTACATTTTTAACACCCACAGAGTGTATCTGGTTTCCCTCCTTTACTCTGTATATATCACACTATGGCTTTGTTCTTCCATTCACTCTGTGCCCACCAGACATCTCTTCTCGTCTTTCCTGGGTGGCCTGACCTCTTGGGATCCCCTCTCCCAGCCAATATTTGTGACTCGAATGAAGAGGACTGGGCCAGATGGGTCTTTCCTGCACGGTAGTTTCCTGGTGTATGTATTGTGGTCCCCGCCGGATGCTGAGTGTGCTCTCCCTTCTCTTCTGCTGCAGGTCACTGATGCCCACACAACAGTAAGTGTGGTAACAGGTGTCCTGGCTGTCGCAGGCCTTGTGGGCATGCTGCTGTACAGAAGCAAGCGGGAAAGGCAATAAATCCAAGGAATTGTCCCAACAACAACCAATTCTTATGGAAGAATATTGTTTAGCTGGCAGGAGTGCGGTTTGGTTTACTGGCTTTACTGTTTTGTGTTCATCAATCTTTATTTTAATGGAGTTAAAAGCATAGGAACATTTATTTGGGGGAAATGCAGCTTAGTGTGAATTCTATTAAATGCAGCTTAGTGTGAATTGTATTAAAGACACGATTGGGCTCTGCTATGGACTGTATGTTTTTGTGTTCCTCTCACACCCCAAATTCATACATTGAATTGTAACCCACCTGTGGGAAGGTATTGGAGGTGGGGCCACTGGGGGGTAATTAGGTGGTGAGGGTTGAGCCTCTAGGATGGAATTAATGTTCTTGTACGAAAAGGAAGAGACCAGACTGGGCGAGGTGGCTCACGCCTGTAATCCCAGCACTTTGGGAGGCTGAGGAAGGCAATCACCTGAGGTCAGGACTTTGAGACCAGCCTGGCCAACATGGCAAAACCCCATCTCTACTAAAAATACAAAAATTAGCCCAGCATGGTGGTGGGTCACTGTAATCCCAGCTACTCGGGAGGCTGAGGCAGGAGAATTGCTTGAACCCAGGAGGCAGAGGTTGCAGTGAACTGAGATCGCACCACTGCACTCCAGCCTGGGTGACAGAATGAGACCTTGTCTCAGA